AGGCTTGCTGTGCTAGGCATGCAAAACCAGCCTACTAAAGCCGCCTGTAAATGTGCACCAAGGGGAGATGTGCTGTGGTACTTCGACCATGCGTTTTTAACCAGCCGAGCCTGGGAACGGCTGGTACGTAGAGAAGGCTGGCTTAGGACATGGCTTTGTAAGGCACCTCTCCACCCCGAGCGAGGGCTCCAGAAAAGTAAACAGAACAGCTCAGCTCACCTTGTGCACAGGATTTATTTAGCTGTTCAAAAGCTGATCGATAAGGTGCCTTAGAGGTAAAAGAAGGACACCTGTGGGAAAGGCCAGAGTCCTAGCTCAGGCTAAAGACTAGTCCAGCCAGAGGAGCAGTGTGTCTGATCAGCGATGCCTGTAGCGCATGCAGGTCTCTGTGCAGAGCCCCAGCTGACTCCCTCTCCTCCTGCAACCTGACTACCAATCACAGACCCCGCTCTGGGCATGCAGAGACTGATGGGCCACCTTGCTCCAGACAGGATGAGGCCAGAACCTGTCTGCTCCTGTCAGACAGCTGGGGAGCCACCCGCTGCCAGGGTTATGCCTCTGTGTCTCAGCGCTCAGCTCAGCTAGTTCAGCCACCCAGAACAGCCAGGACACTTTATTAAAAGCCCCAGCCTCCCCCCGCTCCCCTCACTTTCCATCCATCCAGCCTCATGCACACAGACCTCCACCATCAGCAGCAATTGACACCAGCACTGCATGGGCCAAACTTGCAGCCACTACCAAGGTCAGTGGTTCCATATGGAGCCTGCTGACTCCACGCCTGCATTTTCAAAAGGCTCCAGTGCGCTCAACTGCCTCTGTCACTGGGCACCCGGCTCCAATAGCTGATCACCAGGGCCCATCTGGCCCTAGAACCTATGAGCAAAGTCAAGAGGGTCTTTGTTCTGCCAAGTGCTGCCAGCTACCAGCACTCAGTAACACCTGCGGCTGAGCCACTGCTCAGCAGTAAATGGCCAGAGACAGCATTGGTATGACTAGGCAAGCAAGCTGGTGACTTGCTAGTAAAACAGAAAGAGATGAACAGGAAACGGTGGGGGCGACGGACCTGTCTGGTTTTAAGATTAAGTTAGATACGTTTATGGAGGGAA